AATTATTGTAAATATGTTTCTATTTTAAATTTATGTATTTTAAATGTATACATTGTAAGCCACCTGTGAGTGCCTTGAATAAAAGAAGCAAAAACAATTATACCTTTGTTTTGGATCAGCATTGATATTCCTCAATAAATGTTTGGTATTGGTACTGATGGGACCAAAAGGTACTAATAAGCTTTTTGACCTGGGAACTAAGCTCCTATGGCACATCCTACTGACCCAAAGGGGACATGGTCTGACAAGAGAAGGAAAACAAAGTCTTACTGGGATTCTGTGCATCTCTAGACATAGATTAGTAACTTTCTTCCTAAGGAGGTGACTGGTGGATTTTACGTAAGAGGTCTTCCTATAACCAAACACTTCACTCAGAGGTTATATTTACACAGCTTATTAGTAAATTTTTTTATACTTTTGACACTCATTAGACTCATAATCGTCCACTGGAGCTACTCTATAACAAGAGATAAACACTCCATTCTAAAGGATGAATAATAATTAGGTACTGCTTGGCACTGTGCTCTTTACAGGTCTAATTTTAGAGCATAATTAATCCTGCTGAAATTGCATAAGATAAGTGAAATATTTATGCAGCTGTGTTAATTCATGTATTTACTCCTAGAGAGACATGCAGAATTGGACATGGCTTTCCGGGAAGATTATCTTAAGATGCCCCCTGGAGCAACGTCATTTTCTCTGCCATGTCTTTGCTTCCAGATGGCCTCTGAAGATGAAGCTGAAAAGACACATTTCCCAACCCTAACAGTGTGTCTGGGAAAGCAATGAGTCAGGATATAAACTGTCTATAAGAAGCCAGTGCTCTATATGTGAGCATCTTAAGCCTGGACATAAACTATCTATAAGAACCCAAAGCTCTATATGTGAGCATCTTGAGTCAGGACATAAACATCTCAAGCTAGGACATAAACTATCTATAAGAACATGATACTCTATATGTGAGCATCTTGAGCCATGGAATAAACTAAAATAACTTAATGTTCTATATGTGAGCATCTCCAAATGCTGCAGGGAACGAGATCTCTGTTCAGCTAATATATCACTGACTGAGCTGCACTGAACATGAGCATCATACATGGATGGTGATGGTGGATGAGGGAAAAGAAGATGTTGAAGAGAAAGATGGTGATGACAATGGTGATAGAAATAAGCTTGGTGATTATAGTGATGTCAATGATGATGGTAATTATTGGAACCAATGGTTCCATGATGTTGGTATTTCTGCTACTAATTCTAGGGCATAAATGATGGTGGCAATGGGAATGATGATGGAGGTATAGTGATGACAATTATTTTGAGGCTAATGATATAGATGATGGTAATGTGGTGGTGACAATATGAGGATGAAAGTGATTGTGATTATGTTGCTGATGTAATTAGAATTATGAAGTAGTAGTGGTGGTGGTGGTAGTGGTGGTGGTGGCAACGACAACAATGATAGCGTTGATCCTGATGCTGATATTATTGTTGGTGAAGATGGTGGGGAAGTAATGGTGGTGATGGTGATAGTGATAATGATGAGGATATTGGTGGTTGGTGATGTTGATGGTGTTTGATGATGACAATGCTAAAGAAGGATATCTTGGTTTTGGTGACTGTGATGAACATATTATTAAAATGATGATGATCATGATAATAGAGAGGATGGAGTTGACAGCTTACATTTTTGAACCATATTATGCTGCAGGGTCTGTGCTAAACTATGCTCTTTACATGTATCCCCTTATTTCGTTTTCCATTCTTATCATATAAATATATCTGCACCTATACACAAATGAGTAACTGAGGCTGAGGTAATTTTACAGAAATATTTGTAAGAACAGCAAACACAGATTTAGTTCAGATATGCACTGAATCACTTCTTCCTGTAGTGTCTATTAAAATCAAGTGTCCAATCAACTTTGTCAGACATCTTAGAAAAATAAAAAGAACAGGACTTTTGCTTAACTGGATTCTTTCTATATTTAATTCCCTGAAGTAGAGATATCACCATTTACAGGCAAGGGAAGTCACAAGCCCCCTGAATGTCACTTTCCATCTTTATAAAATAAAAAGGAAGAGGTGATTCTGGAGATAAACTGAAGAATATATGTAGAGCATCAAGTATGTTAACTGACATACCCTGTTTTCTAGTTTTATAACAGATGCTACAAGAGTGACAACAACAGTGAGCAGGGCTAGAGTTAAAGCTTTCTCATTTGACAGATACCCGTCACATTTAAACACTTCCTGTCAAAGGAAATCTAGCCTGACACCAAGCATTCATCCATGCCTGTATGTACTCAACCCTTCACTGACCAATTGTCTCTTATGGCCAAGGTTCTGTGGGCACTAGGTCAGCCTATGAAGAGGAGTAGAAAAATTGTCATCAAAGTTCCAATGGCATCACAGCATTTCTTCCTCTTATTCTTTCTCTTCCCATAAAGGAATATATGCCCAATATGTTGGGTTTGGGGTTTGCCATCTGACTTGTTTTGGATAGGCGAATATTATAAGACAACCATGGGACCAAGCAGAAATGCCACATGTCCATACACAGCAAAGTGCTCTATTTGTGAAGAAAATACCTTCTTCCAGGTGATTAGTAACAGCCTGCCTGAGGCCCATAACCAGCATGCATGTGTGGAGGTCACACACTTGACTCATTGACTTCATCCCCATCAAACTCATCCAACCCTGAATCCAGGCTTGTCCACTCCATTTACACTTCCCTCAGAAGAGTAAAGGCATCTTGTTGTGTGCCTCTGGGATTTCACAGCAATAGCTGACCAACATAGCCACAAATCACAGTTACACAGCAGAGAACATGACCAGTGATCCGAGGAAGAAACAAATGCCCTGGAGGGAATCCTGAGAATCAGATGTCCTTATCTGAGAGGTAAACATAAAGCACATTTAGAATGTTTGATGTCACTGTAAAAATTAAGGATTTAGTTTTGTGAAGTGAGCAAGAAAGAAAGTTACAAAGAATTATAAATTCCATTCAAACCCAAACCAACATGTTTATAAACCTTTGCTCAATTCAATATCATGTTTGACTACAGTGGTTGCTCTATTCTATCCTCTCAGCTATACACAGCACGGCACAGTCTGCAATGTGTCTGACTGTAGGCCCCATACATTTCTGAGTGGGGCTTCTGTCCTATGTCCTGAGATTTTGTGTCTTGTACTGAGGGAGTACCAGCCTGTGCTCTATGCTGGCATTCTGCTTCCTGTCTTTGCATCAGCCTCCCAGATAGAAACTATGGCTTGGAGGGCAGGATATTGAAAGCTATCTCATCATGCTAAGAGATGTGGAGAGATTACCAGCTGCTATGGCTAGATATGAAATGCACACAACGGGTTCATGTCTTTCAACCTTGGGTCCCCATCTGGTGACACTATTTGGGGAAGGTTGTGGATCTTCTAGGAGGGTGGAACTTTGATGTAGGAAGTGAGTCATCAGGAAGGGCTTGAGGTTTTATAACGAAGCCCCACTTCCTGTGTGTAGATGCAATGTGTCCAGTCGTATAATCCTGCTGCCACGTTGGGCTTTAAGCTGTTTATTGTATGATGTTTGGTTACAACATTGAGAATAATCATCAAGACCTGGCCATAGAGTGGAGAAAGGCAGGCAGGAGGAAATACAATGCAGTCCCAGGTAACACTTTTGGCAGTGTAGATCAAAAGCCCCCATCTCATCAGGATGTAAATTTGTAAGAAGAGGAACTGCAGGTAGTTTGCGTGTTAGGCATAGAAGAGTGGAATGCTGGTGGTGCTCTTCCTTTTCTGGAGACTTCCTTTACTTCATTCCTCCACAAGAGATTGAGAATCATCATGTTACTGGAATCTGATGTGCTTTGCAATCTCTGCTGGTAGGTCCAGAAAAGTCTTCCTTTAATTCAAAACCCATAAAGAATGCTTCTCTAATTTGGAATATAGGGAACAGATATCAGGACTTAGATAGTGTGTTGGTTAATTCTAACCGTTAACTTGACACAGCCTAGAATGACCTAGGAAGAAGGTTTCAACTGAAGTATCGTCTTGATCAGGTTGTCCTGTGGGAGTGTTTGTGTGGGGTAGTCTCAATTGTTAACTAAGGTCAGAAGACTCACCCAAGAGTGTGAGTAGTACTATTTCACAAATACAGTCCAGAGCTTTGTAAAGTGGAGAAAACTAGCTCAGTGTAAGCAACCAGCAAGCCAGGATGAAATATCCTCTCTCTGTTACTCATTGTAATATAGCTAGTTCCTTGTGCTCTTGCTTGGCTCCCCCAAAGATGAACTGGAATTGGGAGTCAAATAAGCCTTTTCCTACTTTATATTGTTTTGGGTCATAGTGCTTTATTCCAGCAACAGAAATGAAGATAGAATGTTATGCTTTGGATCTTAAATGACCCAACCCCAAAAGTCTTATATTGAATGCTTAGACACTGAGATAGGAATTCTTGGAGGTTTTGCATCATGAGAGCTGTAATCCTAACAATAGCTCAACAACCCATTTATGGATTCATAAGCTAATGAGCTACTGGGAAGTGATGAAAAACTTAGATGTGAGGCCTGTTGGAAGAAGTGGGTCACTGGAGACATGCCCTTGAAGGCTGCATATTGTCCTACTCCATTGCCACATCTTGATTGTCACAGGCTCAGCAGCTTCCCTCTATCATAGGCCTTCCACACAGTGCACTGCTCCACCACAGGCCTACAAGCAATGGGACCACAGAGGGACACCTCAGAAACCACAAGACAAAATAATCTTTTCCCTCTTTAAGTTGCTTATCCTAGGTATTTTGTCATACCAATGAAAAGATGACTCACACTGCACCTCGGTTATGTAATGGTATATAGCAATTGTCCTGAATCTAGCCTATATTTGGGGGTCACACAAATCTGCATTCTGAAGTACCAGGGGACTAGCCTGGGTATTTTAAGAGATTTGTTGACATCCTTCATTCTGGGCCTTACGTTGTCAAGTACAAGGTTGCTCAGGGTCTCACTTACCATCACCAACAAACTGGAGCAGAGCCAGGTCAATTTGCCTCTTCCAGGGTGAGCCCTTCTGGAGGGCAATTCCGTAGCCAGTGGTGGCAAAGATGTACCCACTTCCAATGGTCACAAGTTTACAGCCTTCATCCCTCCCAGCCTTGTAATTCAAGACAGCGGCGTCATAGATGAAAGCGTCCAACTTCCTGAAATGACAAGACACCAGGGAGTCATGGGGTGGCCAGGTGCCTTCTCAGGGCCCTGCTCTCCCAGCCAATGCCAGCACCTCACACTGTGGAGACAGTGACTCACAGTTGTTCCAGCCCCTTGTCATAAAAGGATCTATTTTTAATGAGGAGATAAAAGCCAGAACCTTTTCTTTTCAACTTACAAGAGGCAGCTAAATTAAGACACGAAGAATACATATACCCAAGTGAGTAAACAGGCAGGTTTTTTGTTTGCTAAGTGTTTGTCCTTAGCACCTCCCAGCAGTGGGGAAATGGTGGCCTGTTTAAAAGGTTTGCCTCAGAACACCATGAGCCACTGAAGGACGGTAGAACTAGGTGGTGGCATGAAGCAGCGAAGAGGAATTAATCAGGAGTGAGGCCTTTTTGTTTTAAAGACTTACATGAATATGTTTGCTGTTTATGTTACAAAATCATTACACAGTAACATTTATAGACTCAAGTAATATAGAAAGGTATCAAAATTATGTAAGCAATTAAATAAGTAAGTTATAAAATTCTATAACCCAAAATCTGTAACTATGAAGTGACCTTGATTAGCATATTGATGAGTAGTTTTCTGATGTTTTGATGTTTGTATGTACACACACACACACACACACACACACACACACACGGGATAGGAAAAACTTTTATGTAAAGACAAGATGAATAGTTGAGGTTTTGTCAGTCATATGTTCTTGGATGTAACTGTAACTTTGCTGTAGTGGGGTGTTATGTATTAATTATCCCTCTTTCCATAAAAAAGGCGAAATGTGGTCTGCTTCAATACAGCCATTGTGGATATGACCACTTAAGATAAGGTCATACTGAATGGGCCCCTAATCCAATATCACACACACACACACTGGAGTTTGCACTATGTAAAGATAAGAATTATGCAGCTAGGAGCCTATGAACAATGAGAACACTAAAACACACCTTTCTATCTCACTCTAAGAGGAAGCACATCCCTGCCAATACCCTGATACCAAACTCTGAACCTTTATAAATTTAGAGCAGCAAATTTTTGCTGGTTAAGTCTGTAAGTTGAGGTTGCTTTGTTAGGATAACCAAAGAAACCACAGTTTCCAAACAATCAGAAAACACAGCATGAACAAGCTGAGTTCTGTTCCACTGAAGTTTCTTTACAAGGCCTGGCTGTGCACCCTCTGTAGTTCACCCTCCTTTATTTCACGCCCCCCCCCAACCGATTACACCAAACCACATCACAGAGTGTTTTCTTTTCTCATTTCACACATGCCAAGTATATCTCCATATCAATAAAAATAGTGATCTATTCTGATAAGTTTACTTTTTATTTTTATTTTTTTGCTGTAAGGCATATAGGCAGACTCCTCATGCTTTATTAGAAAACTGACTTCATCATAATACAATGCTCCTCTTTATCTCTGGGTCTGCTCTACTTGGAAGATAAAATGGATGCTCTAGTTTCCACTTGATCTTTGTACATTTTTCTTTTTTTTAATTATTTAAGTTAGAAACAAGCTTGTTTCACATGTCAACCCCAGAGCCCATTACCTCCCCTCTCCCCTCCCCTCCCCCCCAGGTCCCCCATTCCTCCTCTCCTCCATGATAGATCTCCAGTGACTGCCATTTCATCCAGGGCAGGGTCTTGCCCCTCCCTCAAGAGTCCCAGCTGAAAGAGCATCCCATATTGTGTCATGGACACTCAAAGTCTATTTGTATGCCAGGGATAAATACTACCTAAGGCTCCATAGATTACCTAGGCCTACTCACTGGCACCCACCTTCAGGGGGTCTGGGTCAGTCCCATGCTTTCCACACAGCCATCAATCTGGGGTCCAAGAGCTCCCCTTTGTTCAGGTCAACTGTTTCTGTGTGTTAAACCATCCCAGACTTAACTCCTTTGCACATCAATTCTCTCTTTCTGACACTGGATTCCTGGATTTCAGATCAGTGTTTGTCTGTGAGTATCTGCCTCTGCTTTCATCAGTCACTGGATGAAGGTTCTGTTTCCCAGACTCTCTGGCAGTGGGATTGTATGCCAGCACTCCCGTGACTCATGTCTAAAATCCATAAATGAGTGAGTGCATACAATGTTTCTCTTTTTGTGTCTGAGTTACCTCACTCAGTATGGTTTCTTCTAGTGCCCTCCATTTGCCTGCAAATTTCAAGATTCCATTGTTTTTTTCTGCTGAATAGTACTCCATTGTGTAAGTGTACCACTCCTGTCAGAATGGCTAAAATAAAAAACTCCAATGACAGTTCATGCTAGAGAGGATGTGGAGAAAGAGGAACACTCCTCCAATGCTGGTGGGAGTGCCGACTTGTATAGCCACTTTGGAAATCAGTATGGCGATTCCTCAGGAATATGAGAATTAGTCTACCACAAGATCCAGCAATTCCACTCTTAGGCATATACCCAAAAGATGCACATTCATACAACAAGGACATCTGTTCCACTATGTTCATAGCAGCACTATTTGTAATAGTCAGAACCTGGAAGCAACCTCAACTGAAGAGTGGATAGATAAGTTTACTTTTATTGCAATATTGCATCTATGCTTTGATTTGCTTCATAAATTCTCACATGTGGGCACATCTTCTGAATCACTGTGCACTTCAAAACTGGAATGACAATCATCACTTCAGAAGTCCTGTGTGACACCCCCACAGTCACCATTTCCCAGTCTCAGTCATCTTAGGAATGATGTGGTTGAACTTAATAATTACCTAGAACCCTATTAGTGAGTGTACACATAATCTCAAAAATGTGAAGTTATCTGAAAGAGCTAAAACTGTTCCCCCAGAGTGCAGGAATGGATGCTTCCATTCTAAAACAGGAAGGAAAATTACATGAGCGATTATTCAACTTCCTGCCATGGACTCCACTTCAGTGTCTTTCTTTCTCTAATGAGAAAACGTAAAGCACTGAAGCAAAGGAAAATAAAAGTGGAAGGAGAAGATGGATCAGGCTGCATTCTGTCAGACGCAGCTGCTGGAGGACTCCCTGTGGGAACACAACTATTTGCGAGCTTTATAGGTATGCCCATCATTTCCATTTTTCCTGCTTTTGCTGTGTCTTTGTAATGATTACAGGTAAGATAATGCTTTAGGGCTTATCTAACTTATAGAAAGGCTCCAAACTTTTACCCAAAACACTAGGCATTAATCTCAGATCATGCTCAGAAGGGATCAACACATCCAATCAGCAGCAGCAGCACCAGCAGCAGCAGCAGCAGCAGCAGCAGCGGTACAGATAGACCAGAACTGCCCAGAGAAGCAGTTGCAGCCTTTCTGGAAGGTCAGCTACATAGAAATGGTGGGGATAATGCGTGGAGAGTCAGAAAAGACATGAGGACTCTGAAACTTAGAACAGTGGTGGCTTCTTGTGCAACAGTTGCATAAGAAGGGCCCATTAACATCCCATCACAGGGAGGTGAGGAATTATATTCTTCAGCAGTGTAGTCACTGGCAAGTTGTCCTTGGTCAAGTAAATGCCCCCAACTCATGCCCGTGCAAGCAACCTTAATCAAATGTAGTGGGTTACAGGAAAATACATGAAAATAAGGGGGTGTGTTGGGGAGAAGAATGCCGTTTTAGTAGGGGAGAGAGAAGGGAATAAGGAAGGATAATTGGGATATAATTAATTAAAGACTATATATATTAAAAACAAAGAAAAAAGAAAAGGGTTGAAGCCATTCATGGCATAATACCAGCACATTGGATGGGTATATTGAACATATTTGAGTTCTAGGCTGGACTTAGAGGAAGACACGACCTCAGGAAAGCCATATCTTCCTTTTTGATAGAGCGCTCCTCAGCTGTGAGGTAAGGAGGTCCGGGTGTTCTGCTGAGATTCTGAGACATCCTAGGATTCCGTAAGCTGAGAGTCACCTCCTGTGACTATCAAAGGGAAGTCAGACATGGGATACTGTATCTGTGGTGTTTCTCCTCTTTGATGAAGCTGAGATACTTGCAATGCCAATACTTCACATACCACAGTTGCCATGGAGATACCGAGAACCTTGGTTTTATAAAGACTTCCTAAGTCTCTGCAAACTCCCTCCATTCCTCAAGAAATAGCCTTAAACACGCATTTACAGACTTACATGTGTACAGAACAGTCCAGCCTCCAACCCACCTACTGCTATCCCTGGCATCTGGCATCTCATCACCCCCCCCCAAGCCCCTTATAATATACTGTTAGGGTAGAAATAAGATAAGCCTGGCAATCACGACAGAGTCGTCCAGCAGCAGCTTCAATTGGTATTGTTAGGGACAAGCACAGAATTCTGCAAATTGGTACCATATTTCATGACACATGTTCTGCTGAGCAACAGCCAGATGAAGAAATAGGAAAAAGGCAGGGTGATTTGTGGCAGGGACTTATGGCTGGAGTGACTCAAGAAACGTATCTTCAGAGCCACAGCCACAGAGAGCCACAGACAGGAATCTGATCATCTTCCTGGTCTACCCTTTTGTGTCCCTGGGGCCACAGCACAGCACAAGCAGTGCTAACATTTGAAACTGAAGTTGCATGAAGTAATTCTTTCTCCTCTCTCTCTGTCTCTCTGTCTCTCTGTCTCTCTCTGTCTCTCTCTCTCTGTCTCTGTCTCTCTCTCTCTCTCTCTCTCTCTCTCTCTCTCTCTCTCTCTCTCTCTCTCTCTCTCTCTCTCTCTCTCTCCAGTAATTCCAGAGCTCTAGGTACAAATGGACACAGATACCTGCATGTTCAAAACAGTATCCTTTGGGTGGCTCTGTGGGTAACAGCACTTTCTGTGCTAACATAAAGAGCCAAATTTAAATCCCTAGTATGACATAAAAAGCCAGGTATGTCTACACATGTACCCTTAACCCCAGCACTGTGGAGAAAAGAGACAAGTGATCAGTGGGGCCTGTTGGCTGCCAGCTTAGCTCCAGGCTCAGAGGAAGACACTGTCTCAGTGGAATAAGGTAGAGAGAAATAAAGCAGGACATCTCTAACTGATGCCCATG